ACAAGTAATTCTGCAAGAAATTGACATTTCTAGTTTTTCAATTTTCTTGTTTTACCCCCTAAAACCACCCTTGGACCCATTTGCAAGTCGAGTAAGATGCATTGGAATGTGCCCATGGTGCCTAGGCACAGTTTCTAATATATCTGGTTGTGAAGAAAATGTCGCAACAAATGTAATTCGGGAAAAATTGATATCTTTAGTTTTTCAATTTTCTGGTTTTACTCCCTAAAACCACCCTTGGACCCATTTGCAAGTCGAGTAATATGCATTGAAATGTGCCTATGGTTCTTAGGCACAGTTTCTAATACATTTGGTTGTGAAGAAAATGTCGCAAGAAACGTAATTCTTGGAAAAATTGATATTTCTTGTTTTTCAATTTTCTGGTTTTACCCCCTAAAACCACCCTTGGACCCATTTGCAAGTCGAGTAATATGCATTGAAATGTGCCTATGGTTCTTAGGCACAGTTTCTAATACATTTGGTTGTGAAGAAAATGTCGCAAGAAACGTAATTCTTGGAAAAATTGATATTTTTTGTTTTTCAATTTTCTGGTTTTACCCCCTAAAACCACCCTTGGACTCATTTGCAAGTCGAGTAATATGCATCGAAATGTGCCTATGGTTCTTAGGCACCGTTTCTAATACATTTGGTTGTGAAGAAAATGTCGCAAGACAAGTAATTCTGCAAGAAATTGACATTTCTAGTTTTTCAATTTTCTTGTTTTACCCCCTAAAACCACCCTTGGACCCATTTGCAAGTCGAGTAATATGCATTGAAATGTGCCTATGGTTCTTAGGCACAGTTTCTAATACATTTGGTTGTGAAGAAAATGTCGCAAGAAACGTAATTCTTGGAAAAATTGATATTTCTTGTTTTTCAATTTTCTGGTTTTACCCCCTAAAACCACCCTTGGACCCATTTGCAAGTCGAGTAATATGCATTGAAATGTGCCTATGGTTCTTAGGCACAGTTTCTAATACATTTGGTTGTGAAGAAAATGTCGCAAGAAACGTAATTCTTGGAAAAATTGATATTTCTACTTTTTCAATTTTCTGGTTTTACCCCCTAAAACCACCCTTGGACCCATTTGCAAGTCGAGTAATATGCATTGAAATGTGCCTATGGTTCTTAGGCACAGTTTCTAATACATTTGGTTGTGAAGAAAATGTCGCCAGAAACGTAATTCTTGGAAAAATTGATATTTCTTGTTTTTCAATTTTCTGGTTTTACCCCCTAAAACCACCCTTGGACCCATTTGCAAGTCGAGTAAGATGCATTAAAATGTACCTATGGTTCCTAGGCACCGTTTCTAATACATTTGGTTGTGAAGAAAATGTCGCAAGACACGTAACTCTGGGAAAAGTTGATATTTCTTGTTTTTCAATTTTCTGGTTTTACCCCCTAAAACCACCCTTGGACCCATTTGCAAGTCGAGTAAGAGCATTGAAATGCGCCTATGGTTCCTAGGCACAGTTTCTAATACATTTGGTTGTGAAGAAAATGTCACAAGACACGTAATTCTTGTAAAAATTGATATTTCTAGTTTTTCAATTTTTTGGTTTCACTCCTAAAAACCACTCTTGGACCCATTTGCAAGTCGAGTAAGATGCATTGAAATGTGCCTATGGTTCTTAGGCACAGTTTCTAATACATTTGGTTGTGAAGAAAATGTCGCAAGAAACGTAATTCTTGGAAAAATTGATATTTCTTGTTTTTCAATTTTCTGGTTTTACCCCCTAAAACCACCCTTGGACCCATTTGCAAGTCGAGTAATATGCATTGAAATGTGCCTATGGTTCTTAGGCACAGTTTCTAATACATTTGGTTGTGAAGAAAATGTCGCAAGAAACGTAATTCTTGGAAAAATTGATATTTTTTGTTTTTCAATTTTCTGGTTTTACCCCCTAAAACCACCCTTGGACTCATTTGCAAGTCGAGTAATATGCATCGAAATGTGCCTATGGTTCTTAGGCACAGTTTCTAATACATTTGGTTGTGAAGAAAATGTCGCAAGACAAGTAATTCTGCAAGAAATTGACATTTCTAGTTTTTCAATTTTCTTGTTTTACCCCCTAAAACCACCCTTGGACCCATTTGCAAGTCGAGTAAGATGCATTGGAATGTGCCCATGGTGCCTAGGCACAGTTTCTAATATATCTGGTTGTGAAGAAAATGTCGCAACAAATGTAATTCGGGAAAAATTGATATCTTTAGTTTTTCAATTTTCTGGTTTTACCCCCTAAAACCACCCTTGGACCCATTTGCAAGTCGAGTAATATGCATTGAAATGTGCCTATGGTTCTTAGGCACAGTTTCTAATACATTTGGTTGTGAAGAAAATGTCGCAAGAAACGTAATTCTTGGAAAAATTGATATTTTTTGTTTTTCAATTTTCTGGTTTTACCCCCTAAAACCACCCTTGGACCCATTTGCAAGTCGAGTAATATGCATTGAAATGTGCCTATGGTTCTTAGGCACAGTTTCTAATACATTTGGTTGTGAAGAAAATGTCGCAAGACACGTAATTCTGGCAAAAATTGATATTTCTTGTTTTTCAATTTTCTGGTTTTACCCCCTAAAACCACCCTTGGACCCATTTGCAAGTCGAGTAATATGCATTGAAATGTGCCTATGGTTCTTAGGCACAGTTTCCAATACATTTGGTTGTGAAGAAAATGTCGCAAGACACGTAACTCTTGGAAAAATTGATATTTTTTGTTTTTCAATTTTCTGGTTTTACCCCCTAAAACCACCCTTGGACCCATTTACAAGTCGAATAAGATGGATTAAAATGTGCCTATGGTGCCTAGGCACAGTTTCTAATACATTTGGTTGTGAAGAAAATGTCGCAAGAAACGTAATTCTTGGAAAAATTGATATTTTTTGTTTTTCAATTTTCTGGTTTTACCCCCTAAAACCACCCTTGGACCCATTTGCAAGTCGAGTAATATGCATTGAAATGTGCCTATGGTTCTTAGGCACAGTTTCTAATACATTTGGTTGTGAAGAAAATGTCGCAAGAAACGTAATTCTTGGAAAAATTGATATTTTTTGTTTTTCAATTTTCTGGTTTTACCCCCTAAAACCACCCTTGGACCCATTTGCAAGTCGAATAAGATGGATTAAAATGTGCCTATGATGCCTTGGCACAGTTTCTAATACATTTGGTTGTGAAGAAAATGTCGTTAGACACGTAATTCTGGGAAAATTTGATATTTTCAGTTTTTAAATGTTCTTGTTTCACTCCCAAAAACCACCCCTGGACCCATTTGCAACTCAAGTGAGGTGCCCCATAATGAGTTCATCGTGTGTAAAAAAGCATTTTTGACTTCACCTGGTTGAGAAAAATATTTGGAAAGTCCCGTCCGTAAGTTGGTGAAAAATTAATATTTCAAATATTTTAATTCTTTGTTTACCTTCAAAAACATGTATTGGATCCATTTGCAATATTTTCTTGTTCACCTTTAAGAACTGGATTATTTTATTGTATTTATAAAAAAAGGAATGTATAATATCTAAAAATAAGACATAAACGACGCCACTGGTTGTTCGGGTAGACTCGGGAGTCAGGCTGCTAACTTTTGGCTGCCAAGTTCACGCCAGTGCTATAAAGTATATTTTTTTTTTTAAAGATTATTCCCCAAGTCAAAAATTTAGTTACTATGTCGGCAACACAAGCCTTTTCTACATAAAAAATTTGAAGGAATTGAGAATTTTACATTGTATTGCCAACATAATGTCATTTTCACTTTTATCTTTAAAAAAAAACAGACTTTACTGCATATTTATTTAGGGGAAAAAGTGCATTATAGCTCGGTTGCAAATAAACAGTATTTTCAGTACAATTTTAATTTGTAACTTTTCAATTGAAGATTTCCGCTGAAACATTCACTTCAAAATGCACTATTTGAACGTTAAACAAACGATTCTTATTCAAAAAAATACCATTTTAGGTGACCGGGCTATACTGCACCTCATCATTTACTAGGTATGTAAAAAAATATGCATAGATTTCGCTTTCGATATTTTTGGCCAGCCACCAATTGAGTTCTTGTCCAAATTTATCATTTCACAAAGCGTGGCCACTGATTGTCTCCTCATACGAAAATGTTTTTTGAAGTCTTTATCTGAGTAAGCCGTTACGATGATGCACTTCCCGAAATTTAATCCCTGCAAGCTCATCATCAGTCTTAATAAGGGAAAATCCCCTGGAATCACTACTACTACTACTCGAGCTCTCCGTATCACTGGGGCTCTTAAAAAAAGCCTCCATAAATTGTCTTTTCATTGCGAATTTTCACGTAAAAACAATAAGTAGAACCTATTAAAATAGAAAACTTGAAAACACGAAAAAGCTGATTTTAAAAAAACATAAACACATTCAAAGTCAGCTGGTAACTGAAATGAAAATAAAAATGTATTGTTCTTTCGATGTGACAGTTGTGACAGTAGTGACATAAAAATAAAAATCACTCTCAGTTGAATCAGATCAGTTTGATTAGATCGAAAGAATACCCCTAATGACTGAAGTGCGAACGGAGTCACTGGAGTGCACTGAGTGAGCAAGCTAAAACCCAGCTAAAAATAAGCTTAGAACTTCTTTTGGGGTATAAAATATAAATCTCTTCTACAATGCATCATCCCTAATCCCTATAGTCCCCACTGTTTTAATATTTGATTTTTCGATTCAATAATGTTAAAAAGGGCTCCCAGTCATAGCAGTTACTACCACATGAAAGTTCTTTAACATGTGAAATTTGATCCAAAGTCGCTATTTCCAAATTATTCCGAGTTTTCGATTCCAAGAGTGTAACTTGTGAAAACTTTCTCTCTGCCGCGGCAGAGGAATGAGGCAATGACATTAACCATCGAATAAATTTCTTAATAGATGAAAACAAAGGTTCGTCAATTTGATTTTTCATTTTAAATACTTTTGACCAAAAGTTCTCCGAATCTGTCAAATCTGTTTTTTTGAGGTCTGATAAATCAGCTAAAAGACGTCATCCAGAATTTAAATTTTCTACATTATCTACCAGATTCGGAAAATACTGCAAGCTACATACAGCAATGCTACCAATCTCTCCAGAGACGGCAACATTTGGATCAAGAATTTTTAAAAAGTTTAGTAAAGGGTCTGAAAAATTAAATCTTTTTTTAATTTGCCTTGAAAGTTCTATATAAAAGTCCAGAGCCCCTAATCTAAAATTATGGAGCTCAGCTTGGTCCACACCTTCTCTAGCAGTCAATAATTCAGTTTTTGTTCCAAAATACATGGATTCAAGAGGTAAAAAATTTGATGGGTCACTACTATTAATATTTTTCAAATCACTACCTTCTATGTATGTTTTTTTGAGAAAATTCCTCAGAAGGTTTCTACATAAATCACTTACTTTGGTTGATAAAGTATACAATTTGGGTTTTTCTGCTTGAAATTCCAAATTGAATTTGTTAACTAATTCTAACACATAAGACAAAAATGGACAATTTATTTTATAAGCTGGATGTTCAAGTGACCTTAAAATAGTTTTGATTGAGTTCAAATCTTCTTCTGCACATTCCATCCTAAAATAGAGAGCAAATGCATCCCAGTTCTCCAAGATTCTGTCAACAGCAGCCTACAAAAAATATAAACAGAAAGGGTACTTTGTACAATTTTTTAGGCATACCTACCTGCAAGGAAAGCCATCTTGTATGAGATGGACGTGATAACTTATGAGGTGTTAGGTTAACAAATTCTTGAAATTGTTGGGAACATTCCTGCCTCTTACTTCTATGTGAAAAATAGTTATAGACTGATCTGACAAAATCTTCCAAACTCCATGGTAGTTTCGTTGCAGCAGCTGATGAACATAAGTGGAAACTATGACAGACACATTCAAGAACAAAGATATTAAGTAATGTTTTTAAAAAGGGATTGCACTCCAGTAATATTTCCCATCATAACTGCAGCGTTATCTGCTGCCAGCCCTAAGAAATTACCTAGAGGAATACCAAATTTCTGTATGTACTCGCAAATTAAGTTGAACAATCCTTGGGCAGTGGAATCTCTTACTCTCAAGAGTCCCATTAAAGCATCTCTACATCTATTCTACATGTGGTCAAAATATCTCCCAATCATCACCAAAGACTTCTGTGTGCTTATATCTGTCGTCTCATCAAGGATCAGTGAAAATGGTTGGTTTTTGAATATATTTGTCATTTTTGCTATTTGCTCTTGTGCCAAGCAGTCTGCTGTTATTTTTGTGGCTTTTGTATATCCACATTTCAAACCTTTGCAATTTCCGAATCTGGAAATATATTCGCTAAGAGCGGAATTAAATGATCCATCACTATAAATGGAAGGTTATGCTCGTGCAAAAAACCTAAAGCATTGAATTCTTCTCTCGTGACAGACTTTTCCATTTTATCATTAACCTGGCAAAAATCTTTTATTTTTGGTGTATTTTCTCTTTATTGTAAATATGGTTTGCCCTTTTCATGTGTCGTTCAAAGTGAGTTACACCTTCCTTTATTACAGTATGACATAACCTTGCAGGATGTGGATCCATTTGGATCAATATCAAGAAAATCTTTGCATCCACTCTTTTCTGAATTTCTGTTTATAAACCTTCTTTTTTGGTTGTGGCCTTGATTCACCCCTACCCTCTATTGATACCCTGGCCGTGGCTATTTCCAACACTTCATCATCTTCAATTTGCATGTCTCCGTCTCCCTCTTCAGATTCATTAACTTCATTTTCGGTTATCATCCTACTTGTACTGGCCACTGGAACAGGTTCTGTTTGTTTTGGTTTGCGAATAAGAAATCTATAAGAGCGTCAAATGAAATTTGAAGAAAAAAAATCTATTATTTATTCACCTCTCCATAATAAATGTTGAATCCAATTTGTGAAATTACCTTCACACAATATATCTACCATATACCACAGCGTAAAACATCGGCCATCAATAACAACAAACTTGAACAAACAACCAACAACACAAAACTGAAAGAAAACATAAACACAAACAAACAGCCATGTCCTCTATAAAAATGACATTCGACACCGCGAGTGCGTTCGAAATCACCCTGGGCGTCACACCGAGTGCACACCAGCCATGAATGATGCGCACTCGGTGTCACGCCTAGGGCGATTTCGAACGCACTCTAGTGTAAAGAAAAACACAGAAAACTGTAATTATTATCCATCAGTCATAATCGAATGAGACCGCGAGCCTTTTTTTTATCTATTCGCTATTGGCAACAGATACATTGATTATTTTAGGGTGCTTGCTGTCAGAAGGTAATAGAATTTTTAAGATGCAAACAAATGGTATAATCCTAGCGGTAAGCAAAAAAAAAAAAACGGCAAATTGTGGTACAAGCATGAACTTTGGTATAGTTGTTTTTCAGACCATTTAAAGTGATTTCAGTCGATGTAAATTGACTTTCATCAATTGGGACACCCCCCTATCCCAAAATGGCGGGAAATTCAGAATGTCAATTATCAAATTGTCAGATTTTTCATTATTAAATATGATTTTTACTTTGACGTCCTGAGATATCTAATATTATTTTAAAATATTTAATGAAATACTGCTACTCTGTGAGGGGTTTTCTTCAACATGGCGGCCCATTTTTTTACATTTTTGTATATAAATCCTCTCTAAAACTTTGTCTAGGCTGTGTGATATGTCGTTTTATAGCGAGAATTTCATACATCTGTCAAAACTGCCATTCCAACAATAAACTGACATGTTTTGATTGTTGATTCGAACCAATCAGATTGAAGTTACGTGATAATTTGCATAGTGCAAATTATCAATAGTAATATAACTAGTGCAATGGAAATTATTGATAATTTTTGGGAAATTTGCCCGAATGCATTTATAGAGCACGAGTGCACGTAGTGCACGAGTGCCTTTTTCAGTTAAAAACGCATGAGTGCAAATTTGTCGAAAATTATAAATATATTTCCATCGCACGAGTTGTATTTAATGAGAGAATTTCATAAATCAAAAATTTAAATTTTTTGTTAAAAAATGTCAAAACACCAGTTCTCGCACCAGTTAGTATGCAATTATCTGATAATTTGCACTAGTGCAAATTATCGTGTAATTACAATCTGATTCGTTCAAATCAACAATCGAAACATGTCAATTTATTGTTGGAATACCAGTTTTGACAGATGTATGAAATTCTCACGATAATTGCATAGAAGGTAACTGGTGTTTTGACATTTTTTGACAAAAAATTCAAATTTTTGATTCATGAAATTCTCTCTTAAAATACAACTCGTGCAATGGAAATATATCTATAATTTTCGACCAATCTGCACTCATGCGTTTTTATCTAAAAATGCATTCGGGCAGATTTCCCAAAAATTGCACTCGTTATACACTACGCCAAGAAAGTATCGCATCACCCACAAAAATGGTTAATATTTTGGCACCATTAAATTTATTTCATTATTTTTTGTTGTGAAGGATAAACATTTGATTTTAACACAAAAAAATCACAATTGTGTTGATAAATTCCATCTAAACATTTTTATCTACATTCTTTGTAAGCTGTGTATCGATATTCGGCTTGGTTCAAAATTACATTTGACTTGACTTCAGGTGCAAGTTCAGTGAATAATATTGAGTATGGAGGGTCGTGCAAACATTAACTTAAATTTGCCAAGGGATCAAGTTATTAGAATTATTTCTCTTACTGCAGATGGACGGAGCCAGCGATATGTCGCTAACTTAGTTGGCGTCAACCAATCGACAGTATCTCGAGTGGTTGCAAGGTACCGTGAAACAGGAAAGTATGAGAGAAGAGCAAGTACCAGGCCGTCCGCGAGCAACTACACCCGCAGACCAACGATTTTTGACTCTACAGGCTCTACGTCACTGCCCCTCGTCTCACCAGGGATTGTGTAGCACGGTTAGCATTTGCGAGAGAACATGTAAACTGGAATGCCAATGACTTGGGTAATGTACTTTTCACAGACGAATCAAGATTCTGTTTATACACTTCAGATCGACGAATACCTGTTCATAGATGAGATGGAGAGCGCTACTTCCAATGCAACATAAGATCCTAGACCAATTTCAGGGAAGGGTCTTTTATGCTTTAGGGAGGAATATCTTTGAGGGCTCACACGGAATAAGTACTGCTCGATAGAGGTTCCCTAACTGCTGACAGGTACATAAGAGACATCTTGGAACCACATATTGTGCCTTCATCGGTGATGATTTTCTTTCAACGCATGATAGTGCTCTGCCGCATGTAGCCAGGATAGTAACTGAGTACCTTCAGGAAGTCAATATTCGGGTTTTAGATTGGCCAGCGTGTAGTCCAGACTTAAACCCGATAGAACATGTTTGAAACCATCTATACAGAAGGTTTAGAGCTGGAAACATCCCTGCAGACAATCTTCAGCACCTTCAACAACTTTTGACTGAAGAGTGGGAAAATATGGACCAAGCGTATTTAGAGACATTGATCAAAAGCATGCCAGAACGTTGTCGAGATGTGATAAGAGCTAGAGGAGGCAACACACGATACTAAAACCATTTGTCACATTTTTTCTTCCATTTTTGAATTTGATTTTGATTTTGAATTTTTATGGATTTATGTATAGTTGGAAAAATAAATGAAAAAATTGCATTAATTTTTTTATCCAGTTTAAGTATCTATAGGTCTATTAAAATTAAAAACATCAATACCCATCAATAAATATTATTATTTATTTTTTTATGTCAAGAAATCGTAGTGATGCGATACTTTCTTGGCGAAGTGTATTACTATTGAAAATTATTCAAGAAAGTGATTTTGGCAGATAAAATGCTACAGGACTAATATTTGTAAAGAATCATTGTTTTTGTCGTTTTTGACAGAATTTAAATTAGATAATTCACAAATAGCAAACAGGTGTGCAAGGTAGCTGCGCTTTGCGGCAACAACACCCCCTCTACTATCGCGCCCTGACTTGCAGCCACACTTTTGCAAATCCTTGAGGTCACTCCAAATTTCAGGTAATGGGCTCCGTTTTGGTTGCCATCTTTCACCCATATATTGTCCAACCCCAGTCTCTAGGGACGGAAATATCTTAGGTCATATGAGTGCCCAACTAGCATTTTTATATTTTATAATAGTCGCCAAAACGTTTCCGATACAAAAATTATAAAACAAACTTTACTCTCAGGAACGTTTTTAAAATGTTTATAAGACAGCTATAAATGTAAAATTGGCACCACTTTATATAACATTTCAGTTTTGGTTAGTATTTTGTAAAAGCTTTTGAAACCATAATAAAATTGTTTTATAAACATTTTGGCAAGTCTTATAAAAACTTTACAAGAGCATTATAAAACAGTTTTGTTAAAGCATTTTATACTGCGCTATAAAATATACTTTACAAAAGTATAAACATTTCTATAAAACAACTATATAGCAGTTTTATAATAGCATCACGAAATCATTATAAAATAAAAATGCATATTGGAATTACAGTAATAAAATAAAAAAGTTTTTTAAAGATAATTAAAATGCTGCAATATAAACCAAACAGTTTTGATTTGGACAAAGGACATTAATGGACGACCCTAGGCCGTTAGCAGAGAAGCCATCTTGATATTACCTATATTAAACACTTATTCTCATATTTACAAACTTTATTTGTGCTTCAGAGACTAGAATTTTTGATGCCACGGAAATTTTATTGGGAAATATATAGCATATTTCTAACAAAATTTAAGCGGGCATCGTATTTTCCACTGTTTTGGGAAAAAAAATTAAGAAACAAAAAAAGTAGCATCCTCGATATGATAATTTTCTACAGAAAAACTTGAACCCATTGGTTGCTGACCTAACTATTGGTAATTTTTATGTATTTAACCTACTGCAAGTGTCATTATACGCGTGATATTTAGTATTTTCAAATCTACTTATTTCGGTTCCTTGGGTTGCTGCCATTTTAAAATGGCGATTTTCTATAAAATAATTTACTTTCAGGTGTAACAATTATAAAACAATTTAATTTACTAGACGATCTTTATAAAATATTTTGTTTCGGCTCATGGTAGATCAATCACAGGGTCGGACTTTAAATGTGAAATGTGAAATTTCTTTTTGCACTGGAATAATTTGAGAAAATTATTATTTTCAAAAATATTCGTATTCACAGAAAAAAATCCTGATTGAATTGAATTGAATCACTACTTAGTTGGATTATAAATGAAAATTTCTCAAATTAAAAGGAATACTTATGGGTGAGAATTTCCTTCATCAGTCAAACCTGACAAACTGACATGTTTTAATTGTTGATTTGAACCATAGACCCAATGATTTGAATTACGTGATAAGCCTGCACTAGTGCATTTTTGTAGCGATAATTGCACACTAACTGGTGTTCAGACATTTTTTGAAAAAAAATTAAATTTTTTTGATTCGTGAAATTCTATCATGAAGTACAACTCGGACAATGGAAAATATATCTATAATTTCCATTGCACTCGTTATATACCTACCACATGTATAAATTCACGAATTTCTTCACGAAATCAGCTGTTTTACTTTCGTGTACTGACCTTATTCAGAAAAAAAAAAACATAATCATAAATTCCAAGTGTAAAATGGTTTTTGTTTAAACTATACCTTTTGGAATATACCGGGTGTCAACGAATCTATTAGACAAGCCATAACTTTTACAGTGTCAGTTCTGTCAAAATGAAATTTGGTATAGATAAATGGCATATTAAGAGGAGAGTTTTTGGATATTTTTCAGTTTCCTGTCACTTCCGGTTTCACCGGAAATGACTCTATTTTTGAATTTTTTGCTTGTTTAAAAAGGGTAGCTATTTGAAAAAATTGATGATGGTGATTTTGCCAACTTGTC